GGTGCGGGACACGGCGGCAGCTGGACCTGCGGGTGCTACTGTTCCTGTCCCAGGCTCGCAAAATGCTAGGAGCACTTCGAGAAGCTTGCGCGGCTGTTAGCGGCCCGCGTGCCAGCGCTTTGTGCATGGTGTGTGGGTGTTCATTATGTGCGTGGCTCCGAGCTCATCTCCAGCTCTTCAGAGTTCTCTTTCGCCGATCTAAATAAAATGTCCCCAAGATCAACAAACCAGACCAGGAGGGCAACTCCCCTGACACGGACACCACCCGTTTCCAAAGCTAAAACATCACTGTTGCGCCCTCCTCCATTCCCCAGAACCCACCACGCGGCCTCTTCACCAAACCCGCGGCCGCTTTCCCCCAAGCTGTGAAATTGCCCCTCTACACACAACCTGGCACACTCGCCGCCAAGAGTCAACCCCTTCCACGCTCCCAGGCCCAGCAGGCCCCCAAAAGGGCTCCAAACCCGCCTGCTCCTCGCCCGTAGCGCACGCACGTGGCCCACTCACCCCCTACTAGCTGCCTCCGAACTCTGCAAGCGCTCCCTGAAGGGAGGGAGCCTCCGCCCATCAACTCCGTCTGCCAGGAGAAAAGTAGAAGGAAGGAGGGAGGAAAGCAGAGACGGGCAGAACGGAGTATAAAGGTGGTGAGAGCGGCATTGAGGGGAAGACCGGTAATAATTGGGTGGCGTTGTGGCTGTTGTGCCTCTGCGGAACGCCCAGCAAACGCGATTCACTTTCTGCAGAAATCATACGGAGGGATTGTTGCTGCCTGCAATCAATAACTTAGGGAAGTGAGCTGCTGAAAACAGAGGCGTCCCCCGTCTGGTTAATTTAAGGGGCTGTCGGGACTGAATCCCAGCCCTTTGCTTTCCAGACAAAGAAGTGGGCACCAAAACGCAAGAGGAGTTTTTTAACCCCCACCCGATCCCGGGCAGAGATCTTTAAAAATTAAAGGGCACACACATGGAGAGGTGTCTAGAAGAAATAGAAGTGGAAGTGTGAAAATCTATTCTTTGAATTGAAGGTTTCTGTGATATTTCAAGAAATGGGATAGAATCAATGTTCCGATGAACATTTAACAATTATGTAGGTAAAGGTAAAGTCCATTAAATTTAGCCGTGCATATGGATACTTTTTAATCAGCCACACATTCACAAGCCAATTACTGATCAAACTTTATTTGGGCACACTGATCCGGGAAAAGGAAGAAATGTGTTATAATTTGTGGTGGCATTTTTAAAAATCTTAACATATCTTTCAGATAGTTTCATGAAGATTGCGTTTCTGTAATGTGGAAAGGCCCTGGGAGATGTGTATAATGATCCTAATTTAACAGCCTGTGAAACCAAGCAGATCTGGGAAAAGGGAATGCACCAGGTCACCTGGTACTGACTACCAGTCACCAAATTGAAACCAACTCACTGTGGGCCTGAGCCTAAAAGGATAAACTCAGCTAGCAGCCCTGAAATAAAAGTGGCCAAAATTCTTCATTTCTCCTTGACTCCGAAGCAACTTAAAAATAAAAATAAATCTTAGGATGTCAAACCAAATATGGACACTTCATAAATCTTAATGACTTCACAATGAAAAGTCTTGCTAATAACAAACGGGGCGGGGGTGGATATTGACCATCGTGGTCTGATATGTCTCAAAGCTGGGATGACTGGACCCATTCTAAAGCCAAGAAAACAGTTCATTTGTGTTCTCAAAGTCATAGGCAGCTAGTTCCAAACAGATTAGGACACAGGGGCATTTGTCTGTGCTCATGCACTTAAACAGTGCTTGGAAGGATAAGGTATTTTTGGTAATAGCATTCATAAAGGCTACTGAATCTACATACTAATCCCAAAATGTTGAAAACCGGCCTTTAGGCAACATATAAACCAAGACCTTCCAGCAACTTCATTTGCAACTTCAGTATCCCAATTTGACAAATTTTGTTAACTTGGGATATCATGGGTTTGACTGTCTTCCTTGTAGTTCTTCATTGGATATAAACTTAAAGGTACAAAAAAAAAATGTCGGATCTCTGGATATAAAAGATATGATTAAACCTTGGCTCGGAATAACACATCCTTTGTACGCTGCGGATTCTCAATCACAAGCAGTCCATATGGTGTATACTGTGCCTGCGATAAAGTTGCACCTAAAGAATTTTTGAAATTTAGGTAGTTGGCACTATTTATATTAAAAGTTATATTTATTACCACAATTAATGATAATTTTAATTATTTTATATTCAATACACATTCATTTGGTTTAATACTAGAATATTAATATTCTTCAGATTAGAAGTTTTAGAAATAAATTTATCAAAATATATTTTAATATCAATATTCTTTTAACATTTTTTAAACTATATACCTTGTTGTACTTACACATTTTAAGGTGCCAAAGAAGAGTTGCAAACTGTGAAGTAACTTCTATGAAGAGATGAAGTAAAGAATGGAGGGCAAATGACTGAATGTGTACGTGGTAAGTGCTTAATATTTGTTATATCATCTACCACAACGTTAACTCCTAGAGGTAAAGCTGCCAAACTCTTTGTCATTAGGTGTTTGTGATATAGACATGTATGAAAGTGATACAGAATTATAAAACCATTGTATGCTTTACATTATAAGCATTTTGTGTAAAGCTCGCGTCACCTCTCGGGGCCTATCTTTGCAAGCCCCTTTTACAATTAATCCATTTCAGGGAAAGTTATTTATGTCATCTTTTCACTATTAAGAAAGTAACATTTTTAATGCTATTGGTATTTGTAGCTTACTACTTTTTATATTTTTCCGTATTTCTGCGTCAAACTATCAGGTTTGTGTTGCAAGTATTTTGTACAGTTGAATACTATACAGTACACCATATAGCTGAATAATCTTGAGGGATAGATTAATCTATAGCCTTTCTTCATCTTTTAGCGGGTTTCTGTGGCAACTGTCCAGCTTACTTTGAAGTAATTTTTTAAAGCTCACTTCAAGAGCTACACCCAGTGTGGGCCAGGCTTAAAAGCAGACACACCCAATGCACAAGGTTTTGGTGGACTGATGATTTAATGTAGGAAAGTACTAGAGAGGAGAGTGGAGTAAAATGGTATGCAACCCTGAACAGAAATTAGACACTAGCTTTCTGTAGAGTTAAAATCCTGAGGATCATGCTCTCTGTAACTTCTGTGGCACTTTAAATATATTGATAATTCTTTTGTGGGAAATGAAGTTAATATCTATTTACATGTATAATAAAACACATAGTAATTATTTAATGAGGGAAATATTTGGTGATTGGAATGAGAAAGCTGGTTTAAGTAGTACATCAATCCCAGACTTCATTCTCTTTTTAAAGGAAGTGTCACCTTTAATTTAACAGAATAGGCCCTAAGCTTCCGATCGGCTTTAAAAGGTATAAGAATTTTCTGTTTTGCAACCATAGAACTGGAATAGACTGGAAAATGCATTTAATGCATAAGCAAACTGAGCCCAGAAAGAAAAAAACAAAAAACATTCACTAGTGAGGCACCAACCTTCAAACAGAGAATCTAGGCTTCCTAATACCTAGTACCAGCTTCTCCATACACCACATATTATTCTGATCCTAGCCAAGTACCGTTAGGTGGCAAGGGTAAGGGTGATTCTTTTTAAAAATAGTCCTGAAATATTTAAAGAATATAAAGCATATTTTGGATTAACCACTTCATAGATTACTAATGAGTAACTTTAAATCCCAGGTGATTCTATTGTATATTTCTTTACAACCTTTTTGCTCTGCTTCAACCATAAAAGCTCATGGGAAAGAAACTAATGCTAATATTAATTTAGGGCCACGCATAATTAAGAAGCTAAATCTTCTGAGGGGAATATCTTGTATTTTAGAAGGCCAATTGTAATACATTCCAGATCCAAATTATTTTCAAATTACCCACAGTGTGAAGTTATATATACTTTTGAATGCTTGTACTATCATTGATAATTATGGATTTGTTAAAATGTTTATTATGAAATGACTCTTTGAAATGAAAAAAGGTAAGGTAGTTTCTTTTTGAAGGAAAACAATATAAAAATGAAGTATACTGTGGTAATTATTTTCTATGATCCATCATAAATAGTGTGGTTGAAAGTCATGAATTGCCTATGTTTATTTGCTCATGTAAAATAGACTGCTAAGGATTTATTACATTAACTTTAGGCATTATTGTGATAAATTTAGATGTTCCTGCAAATGGTTTGTTTTGTCAGGACATTTGTGAATCTGGAAAAAAATGAAATTTCATTTTTACCACCATATATAAACATATCTTAGTATTCAAAATGTCAATGCATCTTTAAATTTTTTGATTCTTTAAAAGTTGTAGGTGAACCTTAAATGAACACCTAACACAGATTACCTCTGCCATATTATTAAAATGCATTCATGATAGTAGCAACCTCACTGGATGAAAAACAAACAGGCAAACAAATACATTATAGATACCAATCTGAAAGAAATACTATCTCAGATAGTTCTTGCTTTGTGACAGTTTGCCCTGCTTTCCTATAATAAAAGCAAGAGTTTCATCTTAGCTGTCCTGACAGCCACAACGGTGATGAGCCAGAAGCCTGAATAGTATTCAGATCTAGTTGTACTTGCCTGTAAAATCAACCTTCTCCTTTCAAGTAAAGCCTTGGGGCAGACGCTTAAATGTTGAGCCTACTCTTCTGAGAAAAGCTACTCACATCAAATAGTCTCAACAATGAAGGAGGAGGCTTTTTGAATCACACTGTCCTCCCGCATTAAAATAGTCTAGAGGCACAGTACAGGACTTGAGAGGAAATGCAACTAGTCATTGGGTTAAACACATACTGCTGAAAGGAATTTTTTTAAGTGAGGAAATAACTTTAATTAGCTAGATATTTCAGTATACTCCTATTGTCTACTCTTGAATATTCCATGTTTTAATTTTCCTAGTGTATTTTCCCTTCTACCTTTTAACATGTTTTAATTTGAAACACTATGTAACCTGTAGTAGTACAGGCATGCAATCGTGTCTTTTCATGGTGTGTGTACTAGTTGGTGTATTTTATCTTTGGTTTTATTGGGCGTGGTGTAATTTGGCTAGGGAAGGGAGGTACCCAATCTCTAGTAACCTTTCCTAAATCTTTAATATTAACTTATTTTTAAAACTTTAATGTAAGTAGTATCTTCCTTATCAGTCTCTATTTCTGCTTCCTGTGCAGCTGAAACTCTTCAGGATAAGTGAAGTCATCAGATATCGGATAGGGAAGCTTAATGCATTTGGGAAGTTGGTTTGGTTTACATGTGAATGCCCTGGATAAAATCCAGTAAGGTGTAGGAGAGAGAGAGAGGGAGGAGGGAGGAGGAAATCTCTGAGGAGGCTGCCGCCGTGGTAAATATTTCCAAACTGATTAGAAAGTTCATGGCCCCGCGATGAGGTCGAGATTTCGAATATAGTCAATCTTTTATTATTTTGTACATTAGTAACACTTGAGAGGCGTTTAGGCTAACTTTCTAGCCCTTCAACCTCTCAGGGCCGAAAACCGCGTATTCTGGGTATGCAGGAAAAGCGCACTGGAATCGAGTGCTGCAGACATCCTGGACAGTGGCTTCCACGCGTAAGTAACAGAGGAGCGCTCGGACGTTGGAAGAATGAAGAGGTTAACGCGTCCCCAAACGGGGGAAAAGTCTTACAAGAGCAACTATTAGGGTTGCGCTCCTATTGGTCAGAGGAAAGATCCCGATTTTAGAAGGACTTTCCTGCTGGCTGGCTCTCAGCGTCCCCGGGGAGCGAGCGCGCAGCACCGCCGGTGACTTGGTTTTCCGAGCGTCCTAGGCTCCCCCCGGCAGATAGCTGCGAGCCCGCAGTTCGCGGTGTTGTCTTCATTTCGTGCAATAAAGAATTGTCATTAGGTTTGCGTATGGCATGTGCCGTTACCCCGCCGTAAAACTAAAATTAGCAAAATGTCAGGAATGGAAAGATTGATTCACCAAGATGCAATTATCATTTAAAAGTGCTTGATTGAGGTACTGATGTTCAGTGATTTATTCTGCATACCATATACATAATTAAAGTAGTGTAGTGGAGTAATTTATCAATCTAGTTGAGACTGGAGGGGTGAGGAGCGAACTGCTGTACGTTTGTTTTATTAAAATGCTTCGAGGTCTAGTCCCGCCCCCCTTTTGCAAGAGTGAAACTGATGATTTCTCCAGCTCACGAGGAGAGTCAACGGTTTGGAATTGTGAGGGAGAGAGAAAGACAGAAAGGAAAGGCAGCGCGAGGCAAAGGCAAAAGCAAGGACGAAATAAAATAAAGGAAAAAAAGAAGACAAGAGGCACTTCATGGTTCGTGCTGCTTAGAACCCCAAGCCTGTGTGCTCGGTTTTCCCTGCCACCCGCGCCTCCCCTCCCAATATCCTTCCACCACTCCCCCCTACCCCCGCCTTTTTTACGCGACGTTTCAAAGGCTGTGAGCGGCTCTCCTTTTCCCATTCGTCTTCTGTCACTTCCTTCCTGGACGCAGTTTTCTGGACGAGTCTGGTTACTTTTAATCGGCTGGCCGCTGAGAGCCACTTTCCCCTCCTCCTCCTCCTCCTCCTCTTCCTCCTCCTCCTCCAAGTGGCTTCGACTCGCGCGCGAATGCGCGTCCCCGCGCGCGCCTCCCCCCGCGCGCTCCCTCCGCGCGCGCGCGCACATACACACACATCATCTCCAGCTCTCTGCTTGCTCTGCTCGCAGTCACAGACACTTGAGCACACGCGTACACCCAGACATCTTCGGGCTGCTATTGGATTGACTTTGAAGATTCTGTGTGGGTCGCCGTGGCTGCATGTTTGAATCAGGTGGAGAAGCACTTCAAGGCTGGACGAAGTAAAGATTATTGTTGTTATTTTTTCTCTCTCTCTTAAGAAAGGAAAATATCCCAAGGACTAATCTGATCTGGTCTTCCTTCATGTAAGTACCTCTGACATTTCTCGAGGAAAATAGAAATAGCCTGAGGTATTGTCTCTGAAATCTACATCAGTATATTCCACAGCACTGTGTCTATCCTTGTGCCTTTTTGGAGGCTGAAGTTGAGGGTTGTTGTGCATTCTTTTCGTTAGATTCCATGATTTCCTTGTCTTTTGCGAAAAGTAACTTTTTAGATGGTCTTATCCGTTTGCCATCAGTTATTGAAATCACTCCTGACTTGTTCTTGTCACATCAATGTGTTTAAAGTTTCATGAAGTTAGTTCACATCATTAGCATGTTTGATATGGTGGAGCGTGTAGAGCCTGGTAGATTTTAATTTTTCACGGAATGTTCTGTGACCTTGAAGTACATGCCTTAAGATTCAGCCTTTAGTTCACTGTGGAAAGATGCTCTTCTGAGTCTCCCCCAAGACTGATTTGCTTTGGGTTATGCTTCTGAGCTGCTAATTCTTGGGATTAGTTTGAGCTAAAGCATGGCTGTCTGTCAGAGAATACCTTTGTGCATCTCTTTCTCTTGCCAAAGTACTGGCTTGATAGAGGGCTTTTTAATTGGTGTGGACAAAAAGTAACACCCTGGTTGTGGCTGTCTATACATTTCACAATTAGTGTTGGCATTTCAGTATAGGTATTGCTGCGTAGGTCAAGTCAAATACATAGCTGTTTTAAAACAAACAAGGTTAAGTCACTTAAATTGCCTTCTGTTTGGACTTTGGATGAAAGTTATCAAACTCAGTGATAAAGTTTGGCACAAAGGAGGTATATATAGATATGGTACATTGTTTACAATATTATTAAATAGTATGCAAGTATTTATGTTTAATACTAATATTACCTCCTTCCCAGAATATGGCTATTAATTCTTAAAGGAAAATTATATCTCAAACATTTCTGACTATTCTAGGTCCAGTAGTTATTTTTTGGGAAAAATTATTTTTCTTCACAATTTAGGAATGTGGGTCTTTTGTATAAAATACCTTTATATGTAAATGCTGACAGTATAATAAGTAGAATCGGGCTGTCTGCCAGTTCTTTAACTGGTTCTCAGTGGAGAACTGCTTTGACACAAAGTGGGTTTTACTATGGTGAATCTGAAACTAACTCTAATAGTAACTGTCTTGTGAAATGGCTAGTGACTGCATATATTTTCTAAGTGCTATAAAGGGAACTCCAGCCGCCTCATTATACCAGTCAAAAAGAGTGACCAGCCTCTTTTTCACTGGCACCTTGCAGTGGAATTGTGGTTGCAGAGTAAAGATGTTTATGTAGAGTATAATAACTTCAATCCCTAGAGACTTGCTAAAACATGGAAATGTGACCACCTGTGAACCCCGTTTAACCTCTGAATTGAATACTAATTTTAGCTCTAAATCGATTAACAATCTCCAATTTGAAGATAAAACATCTTATTTAATTTATTTTAAAATAATGTCAGTTTTGGCTAGTCTTTGAAAACGTTCAGTATGTACCAATATGGTACAAGCAGTATTTTTGTTTCTTTACCAATTTCGGTTAAATATAATACTGTTAATAAACCGTAGTACTGTCTTCCAGTGTATGCATGAGATTATTTGTTAAGTTTAAAGAAGTTGTAGCTCTAAAGCAAGTGGTTCAGAAATTGACTGTTAAGATGAAATATACATATCTAATATCCTATCTCAAGAGGAAAAAAAATCTCTAAAATATCTTTCTCTCTTTGGAGGAAAGTACATTTGGCTACATATTAGACTACTAACTCAATTCTAAAAGTTTCTGTCAAAACAAACTTTAAACTCAATATTTGTTTGAAATATGGTCCCCCAGTCAGGTTAAAGAGACAATAGTTGGTTGTTATCTTTACTTTAAATTTTACTAAACTTTATAAAAATTTACTTTTTTTTACTAATATAATTCACACAGTTTTGAAGTGTCTGTGGCATATTTTCTAGTCTTCTTACTAGAGACAGTATTTCACTTCAATAATTACACTATTTATATTCTGAATCCTGTGTATGTATGTAGAATATAGTGAAACAATATTAAAGATGTAACTTTTATTAAATAGTAATTTGCTTTTTCAGTTAAATAAAAATGGGCACTTTATAATAAAAAGTCATTCTTCCACCTTTCCTGAGCTGTTCATACTTTAAAAGTATGCAATCACATATATTAACTGTTCAGTATAGAAACACATTAACATTGCATACATGAAATGTAAATGACAAAACTTTACTGAATCTTGCCTATTTTCTTCTTTGTAAACATTTTCAACTTTCAAAATTTGAGGGAAATGGTTCATTCCCATAGGGAAAAAGGGCCACCTAATGATTCAAAATTGAATCCTGAAAAAGCATCATGTTTTATATTTTTTATATTTCTGTAAATTTCTTCCTTAGCCCTCAGTTTACCGAATCAATAACATTACAACTAAATCCTTCTAATAAATGACTTACTGAATTTAAATTTCTTTTACACAAAAACAACCTAAATTATCTTCTTTGCATATGTTAACATTATATTTCAAAACTTTCTTCTGTTTATTGTAGTATATTTTGTGGTTTTATTTCCCAACTCTACATGCGGTATATTATGGGTCTTTGAAATCTCAGAAAGTGACAAAAAATGGGGAAATATCTGTGCAGCAACACTTGTGCTACATAAAACAACACCAAAAAGAAATAGTTATTAAACAGAGAACCCTGGCTTCAGGGACATGATTCAAAACAGCATGGAAGAATTTTATATGCAATTAAGGGTCACAGAGTGGACTTTAGAGAGATTGTTAATAAAGTTCTACTTATTTTTCAAAAGCACAACCTCTAAGAAAACACCACACAAATTAATAAAATTTATAAAAATGCACATACTCATTTTATGAATATAGTGATTGCCTGGACACAATGAAAAGATCTAATCGCTGATGTTCAGTCTGTGTGCTGCACGTGGAAGCATAGGTGATTAGGATCCCGGTCCGTAGCACTGTACATTAATCTCATGGGCGCGTGGATTGCCTTGCACTCAGTAAAACCTGACTGTTCACCGAGATCTGTCATCTTTAGGAAATCAATCCAGATTACAGAGGCGATTCACAAAACCAGGAGCGACAACCGGGTCTGTGCACCTTACAAAAGGAGGATTACCCAGTTCACGTGTTATTTTGATAGGTCAAAGATAAAAGCAGATTGTTGGGAAATGGCAAGATACTCCAATTTCAAATGATTGCTAGCTAAGTATACCACGACCCTGTTGCTTCATCATTATGAAGAGCCATTCGTACAGCGGAAAATTCAGTTTTCAAATGACAGGTTTAATATTGAAATAAGAGAAAATGTCCTTTTTATACATGTCTTCATTGCTTACATTTTAAGTTCCATCACTTCTTTATGAACAGACATCAAGTTCTGGCTGCTTATGGGAAGCAGTTATTATAGGCTTAATTGCAGTAGACATTTTCAGAGGCATTGTAGAGAGCACAAAACAGAATTTGCCAGAAATAAAACATACACTCATGGTATTGAGTAACTGAGCAGAAAATGCATGGTAGTCAATAGCCATTATGTTATTCTGTTACCAAGTATGTTCTTCATAAAAATGTGTAATTACATAGTTATAAATCCATACATTTGAAATAAATCTTTATAGGCATTTATTGGTCAAATTATATATATTTCATGAATATTATATAAAGATCATTCTGTACAACAAAATATGATGTTTTCAGAATTTATTTCAGAGAATAAAGTTTGGTTTATGCAATAACATTTTGAAAACCCCAACTTCTTACACATCCAACTCTACAGTAATTTCTTGCTTCTTTAAGAATTGAAGTCCTTTTTTACCCAACTGATGCCTCCTAGTGTTTCACACAATAAAACACTAATGAGTCATCCATAAATGTAAACATTGTATTTTCATTGCCTACGTCTTCTGTGATACATAAAATTAATATTTATGTGTTTAATTTTCTGTGCATTACAATAAGATAGGAGATTCTAGTGAATGAGATGTTTCATATGAGTGGATTTGTGACACACACTTGCAGGTTTTCTTTGAACATAACAATATCTTACTAAGTTTTAATAAGTTTATTATCTTCAGTTCTAGTTTATATATTCACTATTTATGTTCAGTCTTATTCCAAGTGAAAAGCGTAGGCAGAATAGCATAGCTTCCATTTTCTAGGCCTGAAAATTATACAGTTGTGTTCATTTGGAACTGTCTGATGAACAAATTGCAAAGAGACTAACCATGTAAGCACTAAAATATCTTGAAAGAGAATTAAAATTTTGCCTACTCTGTGTCTTGACACTTGCAAATTTCTTTGTAAAAGTGCAATAAAGAAAAATCGGTTTTAGAAAAAACAAAAGTAAAGATAAACGCACACATTTGCACATTATTAGAAAATAACAAAATAATACCTTGAGAATATACAATTGTATATAATTGAAGGAAGACTTATTAGAACATAACTTCTCATGACCTGCAGATTGTCTTAATGAGGTTGAAGTTAGTGGACACCAACTTCTGTGTGAGTTTTTTATCACTAGGATATTGGGTGTAGACTTTTGATATTCTTGCATTTCTGTGATTTCAAACAGCTTTCTGACTACTTAGGAAGACGGATACTTTAGCTTCTCAATATTTTTTCTTTAAAATATTTATGAAAAGGAGGTGGCATTCCCCTAGTGGGTCTTAAATTCAAAGGATGCACTCAAAAACCTGTAACATTCATGGGCTTCTTCCTGAATTATCATACAATACACATGTGCACAAAAATGTTCACAAATTTCTTCCATTAAGACAAGTGTTCTGAGAGTCCTGACTTCGACACTAGACTGTCTGAATGTAGTTCATTGTTATTACCTTCACGCGTATGTGTCACTTAGATCTCCTGGTTCAAACACAGCACATTTTACCAATATTTAAGTCTCATTTAAGATTTTCTAATTTGGTCAATAATACAGTGCTAATACAATTCTGTGCACGTTGGACACATTTCAAAGAATG